TGGTAGCACTGAAAGAGTTTACAGAACAGAAAAGATGAAATGACCTAAGATTGGCCTGAAATCGGCAGTTGGATTCTCTGAGGCTGAGTGCTGTGTGTGTGACATGCCAGGATGTGGGTGGTGTGAGTCCCCTGAGCTGTGCACCCTGGCTGCGTCTGGGTAATGGGTCTGGGGGACCTGGGCAGAGTGAGAAGGGCTGGATGGGAACACCACACAGCCTCATAGCAGAGGGATGGCTGTTGGAGGAGGGAGGTGTTTTAATTCACCTTTTCTAGATTTTCAGGGGCTGGTAGATCAGGGTATTGAGGAAAGAAAATAGAGAAACAAGTTTGGGTTTTTTTTGTAGAATTGATTAATTATAAAAAGTTGATGCCTGTTTCCTCTTGTTAGGTTTCAATATAATCATTTTACTGTTAGATTCAGACTAATATCTTCTTAACATTTTTCACTGTTTGCTCTCTGTTGGAGGATTCTGCTTTAGGAGAATTTCCTGTTGGACCTCAGTCCTTCTTATCGAACTGGTTATTGATAAGAATTACAGCTGCTTGCTTTTCTCCATTTATACCCAGTACTTACTTCAGGAAATCATAAAGGATGATTATATTATACTATCGATGTGATTTCACTTTTTAATTTTTCTTTTCTATGAGTGTATCCTTTTGGAATGTCCACGCAATATAAACTGAACACACAGGTGGATTTTATAATGGTTTGCACTAACAGACTTCATAATAGAAATTTTACTGCCAAAATAAAATCTTAAAATTTATTTTGCATAGGAGGTGTGTTTAGAAAACTTTTACTGACTCTACTTGGAGTATAAATTCCTTCCAACTTGAAAGAAAATTGAAGCTACATGGAATGTACTTCCTCAGTTCAGCTGAATATTAGGAAAGATAAAACCGTTTATAGTGGTCAGTGAATCATGGGGCAAATCAGTATCATACTGATTTCAAAATAGGAACCTGAAATTTTTACTAAGAAGGCTGCCTTCATTGCTAGGCTGGTAAAGTTAGGATTTGTCATGCATTTCTATCAATGGTGGTATTACAATGCCATGTCTGCAGACGTGTCTAACAAATTGATTGAAACACTTTTTAGTACCTTAAAAACATTCAATTTTTCCAACTCAGAATGATCTGATTCCCAGTTGATTAACTATAATCTCAATTGTTACTCGAAATAACTCTTTCAAGAAATGTCACCCAACTTGTAAAATAAAAGTCACTAAGTTTGATCAGCATTCTCTCATACCATAAAATCATCAGCATTTTTTTTCCTGAAGTTGCTTCCTGTTTTTATTTCTTCATCACAAGAAGCAATTCTGTATTTTCAAATAGTCTCCAAGTGTCAGCCACTGGTTTTATTTCCTCTTTTATACAATTTCATAATTTCATTCTGTATTTGCTTCCCAGTCTGCAATGTAACTTCTTTCTCTTTCACTGTTTTGCTCTATGGGTCAGGCTGGTACTGACATTATTCACTAAGTCATTTACCTTTGATACGTTTGACTGTTGGTTTCTCTTCTATTCCTTGCACTTGAGTAGTCTCTTTCAAATTGCCAGGACCAAAGCTTTTTGTGAAGGACTTTCAAAAGAACTCAAACATGAAAGTGCTGCATAACAGAGTGTGCTTTATAGCCTAAAATCAGGTCTGGTGCACAGAAAAGAAAAGGTAGCAAGTGTGACAACCATTTGTAGAACAGGTTGCAAAGATGTTCCTGGAAGCCATGGGTCAGTAAGTCTGTCTTCGATAGAGGCACATTAGGGAAGTGTAAACAAGAATATAATAGGTCAGGACATTTAAAAAGGTGATGCAGCTTTTGCAGAGGGAAGTCACATCTCACAAAAATTACAGTGTATCTGGACTTTCAAAAAGCTTTTACACAAATGTCTTCACCAAAGCCTCTAAAGAAATAAAGAAATAAAACTAATGGGATGAAAGGTGGAGTTCTACTATTGATAAAGAATTGTTTAAAAAGAATAGCAGAAAAGTCTAGGTATCAATAGTCAGTTTTCAAAATGAAGGCAGATTAACAGCAAAGTCTCTGAGGTTCTTTGCTGGCAACTGCACATTTTAACAGTCAAAAAAAATATAAGAAAAGAGATAAATACATAACAACATTTCGTTAGGATAGTCAACTATAAACCTGACTGTAATGCAACATGGAAGGCCTGTTCATCCCTGGTTCAGTTTGTAAGGTACTCAGCATCCCAAGTGGCATGTCAGAGAGAGCCTCAGCTGCTATGCAGAAACCTGCCAGACATTTACTCCATTCTTCTTTTCTACAATGAAAGAAAAAAAGGCATTTTATAAGAAAAGTAGGGAGTTTGTGGTTTTGATATTTTGAAATGAAAAGTTTTATCATAAAAATTCCGAAAGAATAGATTTAATTTAATTTCAACTGTGTCAACCTTTTACAATTTTTCCCTCTTGCATTTCTTGGCTGAAGCAATTCACTAGATTTACTTAGATTTATACGTATTTCAGACACCTCAGAAGTCCATTTTGGGAAAAATGCATTTACTGTCAAACAAATACTGATCTATAATATGGTGTCACAAATTAATCCCAGTTGTAATATGGTGATGGTCAAAGTTAACCAGGCATAATGTGGCCCAATACATCGAAATAAAGGGCATTTCAGGAAATGAAATAATTTCTGGGACTAAAAGTTTACAGCTCATTATCTTTAAGGGAAAATTTATTAAACTAATATCTTTATACTGCTTTCAGTTTTTCTATTGTAACATTTCTTTGGAAATGTTAGTATTGATTGCTATCATATAGAGGTCTGTAAATAGAAAAATGAATTAAAGTTTTACATTTAATCCAGAAGGTAAAAAAGAGTGCTCCCCTGAAGAGGAGGAGATGACAAGGGACAGCCACCCCGAGACTCACTGCCTCTCTGGATCAGTGTCCTGCATCTTTTGGTATTCATGGTTCACCGTGATTTCCCGATGCCTGTTGAGTTCCTTTGTAAAGCCTTTGCTAGTGATTTTTTTACCCACACAGAACTGAACTCAGCAACAAAATCCAGTTAACTAAACAAACAAACCTGAGGAGCTCAGGCTCTGGCCATGACGCCAGTGGCAGGATCCTGACAGGAATCTGTGGGAGGCAGCCCAAAAGCCTGTGCCAGAGGGTCCCCACCTTTCCATCTCTGCCCATCTGCTTCTCTTCTTCAAGGAAAAGGGGGGGCCGGGATGTGGCAGCCCCTCACTGCCCTTCCCACCGCTGTTTTGGGCAGATCCCACCAGGCTGCAGAGAGATTCCTCTTGTCCATTGGTCTTTACGCCTCTGTCCACAGGGTGGAGGTCATGACTTGCATATAAGCCAGCCTGCACAGAAAATAAGCATTGAAGCTAGGATTATAGAGGCATCAGATCATGGAGCAGAATGGGAAGGTGGAAAGCAAGAGGAAATATTTGTGTGCCAAGGGGAACAATAGCAAAAAGATCATCTTGTCACGAAGAACATTTTGCCTTTGTGGTTTGTCTCTTGCTATGTGCCACCCACACAGAGTTGCAGTCCAGCTCTCTCTAGCACAGAAATTTAATGAGGAGGCTGGAGACTCCTGTAGGACCACTTTATGCTGCAGTTTGATTGTGGATCAGGCAAAAGTGCAGTGACCCTTGGGAACCCACATTTGGAGCTGTTATTAGCAGGGATTGTGCTGGAGGGGTGAAGCTGAGGGCTGTCACTTAACAGTGTGAGGACCATTGTTAGAAAGGAATCTGTGTTGGTAGCAGGTCTCCAGTGAAGGGAAGAGGAAAATAGTTCAGCACTGATGGAAACATGGTCTTTTCACACTACATTTGTCTTGTCTTCCAAGCACAAGTGTATCACATTAAATAAAATTTCCTTTATTTCCAAGAGCCTTATATCTTTATTTCATAATTAGCATCTCATAGTTACAAAGAGAAAGAAACAAATAATGTCTCATGTCCTGTATGATTTTTCTGTCCTCTCAGCAAGATTGTTTTGGCTTAGTTGTTCAGTTAGGTAATCTCTTATTAATCCTATTAAAACAGCAGCAAAGATTTATCATGAGTGTTACTCCAATTTGCTCAATGGTGTTCTGAACATACTTTTCATTCTTTAGTAATATCTTATCAAAACAAGGTTGTCTTATCAACAGCTTTAACTGAAACAAAATTACTATTTTCAGGCTTTAGGATGGGAAGGATTTGAGAGAAGACCGAAGCACCTCTGGCCTGAGAAATCCCATTACAGGGAATCAGACCAGAGGAGATTTCTGATAAGACTTACATACAGGCTTGAGCTGTGGCGTGGGACACAGAGAAATAGGAAAAATTCAGCAAAGCTGATTTAAAAAGGGGTTGATAATGGGTGACAGACACCAGGGTCATGTGCAGGGCATCTTTAACGCCTACTGGGGACCTTCCTGAGGGTCTGCTGATTCCGTTGGGGGCTGGTGTGTGCCCCCAGCCTAGGCATACACAGCCAGGCTACAGTGGGTATTGAGTGCTGGGTGGTGCACCACTTGCACTTACCGCAGGAGCCAGGTGAGCCTCAGAAAAATTTCACCTTGTGTTACAAAGATTTGGTAGGGATAGACCCCTGGAAGTCAAGAGCCACCCCCAGGACAGACCCCTGGTGCAGAACAGCACCTCAGAGAAGAAAGCAGGTGTGATAATTCCAAAGCCTGGAAGCGATCCGAGGCACAAGGAGAGAAAGAGTGAACCTAGCAACCTGACCAAAACTCTCCACTAAACTCTCTTTTCTTTCCTATGTTTTCTTCTGCTTTTTGTTTCATTCTGATTCTGGAGGAAATAGTGGCATGCATTCCTTCCCCTTATAGCTGGGACAAGGTCAAGCACAAGTGGGTTACACCTGGGGAGAGTGTCCTTACTTTTTTGCAGAGCTGAGCTGTACTACAGGGGTTTGCTACCAGTTTGTCGATCTTGCATGGGATGAAACTCCTGACATGGTAACTGTAGGTTTATTTTTTTCAACTGTTCTGCTTTGTCTTCCAGGGTTTGGTATGACCACCCCAGCCACCGTTGGAGGCAAAATTTTTCTGATATTTTACGGCCTTATAGGATGTGCAGGGACCATTTTGTTCTTTAACCTGTTCCTGGAACGCTTGATCACAGTCATAGCTTATGTCATGAAGTCCTGCCACGAAAGACAGCTGAGGAGGAAAGGCGTTCTCCCTCACAACGGCCGGCGGGGCTCAGGGACATCTGAGGTGGACAGCCTGGCGGGCTGGAAGCCCTCTGTGTACTATGTCATGCTGATTTTATGTGTAGCATCACTCATCATTTCCTGCTGTGCCTCTGCAATGTATACACCAATTGAAGGGTGGAGTTACTTTGACTCACTTTACTTCTGCTTCGTGGCCTTCAGCACCATAGGTTTTGGTGACCTGGTCAGTAGCCAGAACATCAAGTATGAAAGCCAAGGCCTTTACCGCTTTGGCAATTTCGTCTTCATACTCATGGGGGTGTGCTGCATCTATTCCTTATTCAATGTGATCTCTATTGTGATCAAACAATCCATAAACTGGATATTAAAGAAGTTGTCCTGCAAGTGCTGCCACAGATGCCAAAGAAGATTATTTCGTTCAAGGAGGAACGTGGTAATGCCTGGAAATGTGCGCAGCCAGAGAAACATCTCCATCGAGACTGATGTTGTCAATGAGAGTGACACAGATGGACGCCGTCTGTCAGGAGAGATGATCTCCATGAAAGACTTCCTGGCCTCAAATAAAGTCTCATTGGCCATCATGCAGAAACAGCTGTCAGAAACTGCTAATGGGTATCCAAGGCAAATGAGCTGTAATTCAAAGCAAAACGGATTCTCTGGTGGGGTTGGAGCCCTGGCAATTATGAATAACAGACTGGCAGAGACAAGTGTGGATAGGTAAAATTGTAACAGTAATAACAGTGAAACAGTGTGAGCCATTTCAACAAGTATTGAAACAATGTGAATCAAGTGGAAGTAGCTAGAGATAGAGTGCCACCAGAGGCTGGGATGAATGCGAAGGCCATACCTCCTGATGGAAGACCACTGACACTTTTTGGGGGCTGTCACTTAATGTTTTTGAATTGCACCAGTCCCAGCCTTCCTTATTTCCCATCCCTCTGCTTCTCAAGCAGGTCACTGCAGAAGGAATTTAATTTAGCCTCCAGATCAAATTTCCATGTCCTGTTCTTTTCCATTTATGTGAAACACAGATTTCAGGATAAGAAATATGTGGGATGGGAAGAAACCAAGTGTGTCTACTGAACACATCCTTAATTCAAAGGGTTTTTTTGAGTTTTCTGTCTTATTCTCATCATACCTGTTTCCTGAAAGTAGTTCATCTGAGACCAAAAGAGGAATAAGACTTTCTCTATGATATTGCAGATCTAATTTAATGAAAAATAGTATGAAAGTTGGTAGGTATATTTTGGAGTTATTGTGATGCGAATGAGGAGAGAATTTTGCCCTTAGAATTTAATTTAGTCTTTCCTTTAAGAGGATACTGTCAAAAGTGATAGAATAAAAATTTATCCTACTTTTGTTTTCTTCTCTTCATTTGCAAAACATGATTTTTTTTCCAAGGCTACTTTTTCTTCTAGAATCGAATCACTGCGGCTGTTTCAAAAATATCAAATTAAATTAAAAACTGATGCATTTATGAGTGGTATGAATTATTCGACAGTAGCAATCAGAGACTTTTCAACTTTCTGTTCATATTTGGCTCAATTGTGACTGAAGCAATTGAGTATCAGCATTGTGTAGTGCAACTAGTAACTGAGTTTACGCAACAGGCTTTAGTATGCGATTAGATTGTCATGCCAGCATCCAGGTATTATTATAGATGACTGTGATCACAGAATCACTTTGGCAGTGTCCTTTTTCTCTTTCATGTAATTCTGTAATTCTTCCCCTGTTTCTCTGGCTTTTGGTGATGATAATGACAGGACCCTGATTAGGGAGGTAGAAAATGTTTAACTCCTCATTTTTCTCAATGAAATGTTCTGAGTGTTCATTACGACTAGAAAAGAAATTTCAATGAGAAGAGTAATTACAGTGAGAAGAACATGAAAACAGGAAAAGAGGTGATCTTTAATGACAGTGAAATCATCCTTTTTAATAGGTAACTGGAGAAATAAGGGATCAAATTACCATGAAGTCTGGAAAGAATTTAAGGCAGACTGGGCTGAATTCCTGATTCTCCTTTATCCATGCAATGCATTAAAGCTAAATAGTATATGAGAGTGTAAATAAGCAGAGTTGGTCACAAAGGACTGGAAAGGAATAGTACATGCATTAGGACTAAATGTTGCCTCACAGCCAGAAAGACTTTCAGAATACTACCATTTTAGGGAATTTAAAACACCATATGCAGTTCTCATTTTCTCTCATACAGAACAATGCAAATAGCCTCTTCAGTTTAATTTCTATTGGGAATTAATAACATATCCTATTTCTTCATTCTGGCCAAAAGTTCTTTTATTTAGGTTTCTAATACTGTAGAATAACATTTTGATACACATTTAAAGCAATATTTGAATTTGAAAACAAAAGCTTGGAATTCTTTCATATAATAAACTAACCCCAGATATTCAACAAATGTATTTAACCAGTGAAAAGAATTGCAGTCTCTTTTGACTTTATTAGAGGTAAAATCCTGATTTAAAGTAAAATCCTACTGTCCTTAGTTACAAGGAAAGCTTAAAGCTGAAGTCATTAGTCCAAATTCTGATATTTATCAACTCAGCTGTGCAGCAGTGGAATAACCCTAGCAGTATCCCTTCATATTTGCATCCGAACCAGCTCCCAAACCCTAACTTTGGTGAGAAAAGCAGTCTTATTTGGTTTTTTGTGGAGTTACATATTAGCAAAAATTGCCACAGAGTTAATTTAGATGGTATTATAATACCCAAGATCCATTACATTGTTACACTTTTTTTTTATCCCAAGACCTTCTTTGTCTCAACCTCACTGAATAAAAATACTTGGATATAAAAAGAGAAAAGTACTACTCTAAAGCCTTCTTTTCAAATTCATCCAGCAATGCCTCTGTTCACTGCCTGTAACGCTAAGATCTCATTGTTATCGATGTATTCCTCATGCTGCCAACTAGCAGAAATAGTTTAGGACTTGACCCATTGCTTGAGCAATCATTAAGATGGTCTTCAGATGGTTTCAACTGCTCTCAAGACATGAGACAGTTATGTTGCTCTGTTTCATTCTTTGTGGTACCAAGCCGTGGTTATTCATCACCACAGAGGAATCTTACCAGCTATTTTCAACAGATCTGAAAGCATCTATGGTTGCAAAAGTAAGGGACTAATAAATAGTCTTGATCAAAGAGATTTGGCAAGGCTGCCTGAGATCACTGTTGTACACTAACTCTGCATTCATTCTGCTCTCTCAAGCACTGCCTTCCTCATGACACAAGCCTGCCAGCTGAAAGGATCTTTGCGCTGGTTTTGTGGTTGGATTTCATGTGCACTGAAGATAATGAGGGAATAACGGTACTGATCACCTCTATTCAGATATGAATTGCTGTTCCAGAGATGAAGGACTGGCATATTCTGTCCCTGTGCCATCTTGTATAATGATGTCATCCTGTCCCTAAAAGACCTCTGATTTTGCCGTTGAGTTCGTCTTATAGCAGCCACACTATACATTGAATGAGGTAGCTTTACCAAGGAGACCAATATTCTTAGAGAATATTTGTGGGTAAATAATTAGACTTTTAAGATCAGAGAGGGAAATTTCTAACTCCGGTCCCATGGTACTACTACAGTGATTTTTTCTAAAGGCATTGGACAGAGAAATCCTGAAAAGCTCCGTGCATAATGTAGCATTAAGTTATTAAATTCATAAAACATGTGGAGATATAAACTTAAATGTGCCAAAAAAGAGCAGAATTTAGCGTAGGAGTGACAAATGCCCATCCTGTGTGAAAAATAAGTTACAGCAAAAATACAGACAACATCGCATTTCTTGCATTACTTTTTAAAGTAGCAATGAGGAATTAAAGGAGAGATCTTATTTCAAAGCTGTGTAAATTGTAATGCCATATTGTTTAACACTAAAATCTCAGTCAACAACAGGAACCTGCTTTCACAAGTAATGAGTTTCCCTATTGCCTGCTATGAATTTGCATGATGGCTAATGAGATATGGGTGTGGGTTTTTAAGGCAAAAATGCTTTGATGGAAACCTTGGATGTATTGAGCCTCTGAATCTGCATTTAAGAGGTCAGCACTTAAAGAGTACCGCTAAAATCAGTGGGTTAATCTGCAGGTTGGAGCCTGGCAGATTGAAACTCCACGTCCTTAGAGGAGTAATCTACTGGAAGTTAGCCTTAGTTATGCCACAACTTAATAATATCATTATTGAACAATATAATTATTACACATTGGAAGGAAATATCTGCTGCTAACCAAAATACAATCAAATAAGTAAAGATAGCTCTTAGGATTTTCTGCCTAGTTTAGGTTTTGTAACATTTGTGCATCAGATGCTTTGCTGGGTATGTAGATGTCAAAGCAGCTACATTCATTTATCTCCATGAAGGACATGGATCTCTTTTTGCAAGGACATGAATAGACTTTTTAAAGGCATTTAATTCCTGCTGAAAGTCAACTCACTTCCCACCACACATTGACTTTCAGTAGAAGTCAGGTACCTAATTCCCTTAGGCAATTTCAGAATCCCAGCCATATATTAGGTTTTGAATCTAAGCTGACCTGACAGTGTCCCTGAAAAGTTCAAACACTTGGAGCAAAGTTTCAGTGCTGCAGCACTCTAATAGCTGAGTTCATTTATCTAAAAGCCTTTTATGGTGAAAGCTTTGCATCAACCAAATAACACAAGCAATGTTTACAGTTTGTTTGATTTAATCTTGGCCTTTGACAGATTTAATTATATTTGACACATTTATAAATTAGAGAACAAAGAGAAGGTAAGGCTGGACATGAAAACCAAACCAGCTCCATTTCTCAGACTGAATTAATCAAGAGAAAGAGGTCAGGTTTGGAAAAAAGCTTCTTGATTAACATTATATTTGAATAAAGTTTCTCTGGAGATGGAGGGTATTAAGTAGTTCGGGTGACTCCTTTCCAACAGCTGTGGAAGTGGAGCTGTTTGTGTGACCTGCTGGTGTCCCCACTCTGGGAACAGAAGCTCAGTGAGCCTTAGCTGAGAGAAGGGTCAGCATTTCAAGTAATACAGTTGGCATCTCTTGTTGTTTTGATTTATATTACTAACACTCGGCTTATATAGTAATTTCTTAGATTCTTCAAGAAGTAGTGAAGTTATTTTGTCCAATTTCATGTACAAACTGTGGAGAATCACCAAGTGTTTTCTTTCCCCTGGGTAGAAAATACTGCCAAGTACAATGTGCCTATTTGAGAATGTTCAGAGTAGTTTTTTGCTTAATCCAGGAAATAAGAATGCAATCCCTTCCCTGTTCTGTATTTTCCAAACATCTATGAGCAACAATGCCTACACAATACTCTGCTTACAAGGTCACAATTCACTAGGAAAATTAAAGCCATTGCTCATCAATGTGGATGAACACAGTCTTATTTTTTATTAGATTTAAGAGAAACACAGTGTGAACACAAAGAATGGCACTTCAGGTCCAAGTAGTCAGAAGCTTTTTGATATGACCTGTGTTTAAAGAGCTGTTTCATGTCAAACCAGAGAAAAACCCTGTCACTGCAGACTTTTAAGGGCATTAGTAAATGTAAAAACAACCTTGTGGAATAGATGCCCTAAGTTATACTCTGGTTTTCTACAGTTTCACTCTAATTGTTGCCTGCAGTTTTTATTATTTGAAATTATTTGCAATAATAGAATAAATAATATAAATCTGCAAAGATTTTGAGAGGCGTGATAGTCAGATATGTTTTAAATATTTTTTTCCTCAGGCTGCCTAGCTTTTTGTAAAGGGGAACTTTGATGAAAGGCAGAATCAACTCTTTCCAAGCAAGGATACAGTTTTTGGATTCAAATGGATTTCCTGTTAGGTGTGCATGCAGAAGCTCACAGAGAGGCAAGATAGCCTAGTTTTCAAACATTATCTTTTGAAATGTCTTTCAAAGCTATTCCCCTTTTAAAGACATAGAACACTGTCAGTGTTTACTTTTTGTAGTCTTATCTGAGAAAACTTAACCTTGCTTTTTGATATATTTAGAAGAAACAGATGCTCATGAAGAAAAATGAAAATAACCTTACATAACCTTTACATGTATCTCTTGGAGCTGCTGAAATCCTCCTCTTTATCCTAACTTGAAGTTTACATCAGAGTTTAATTTCTCCAGCTCACCAAAGAGGTTTGGTCTTACTAGTGAATAGCCACAGTTCAAAAACAAGAACTCTAAAGTTGTATTTGTTCATCTTTTCTAAATGCTGCAATGTGCCCGTGGGTGCCATCTAGTCTCCAAACCCTTTTCCAAAGCAAGCCTAGCTAGTTCCTGCCCTTCTCTGTGCAAATATCTGTCATTTACTGGGCAATGCTGCTTCTGCAGGTAGCAATCTGTTCGCAGTGTACTGAAAGTGCCCTTCTCATATGAAATACTGACCAGCACCCTGTACCAAGAGAAAGTCACAGCCCCTTCTCTGAGCTACTGCATTTAGGCAAGCACTTAGCTCTAAGTTAAACACATTTCTTCATAAATAGCATTCAGGTAGCTGCTTTTCTCAATCTAATACATAGCAGATGAGTATTTTGATCCCTAGGTATCATTGTTGTTGGCACTCTTAATTGAGATGGCAAGGACTGAAAAGGTCAGTCTGTCTGCCCTAGGCTCCTAGGCAGGGTCATTAATCACCCTTTTAGCAAGCAGCTTATGGCACTGTGGCTTGGCTCTGCACATTGGATGTGCAGAGTTCTCAGGAATGGATTCTGATCCACTGAAATCAATGAAGACTTTGCTTCTGGATTCTTTATCTGGCATTTTTCACAAGAATTAATTCCACTTCACAAAATAATCCAAAGAAATGTGACTAGACTCTTACTTTACTTTTACCACCAGATGCAGATGTGCAAATGCTAATTCTACTCATGCAGTACCGTGTTCTGTGCTAAGTTATTGCCCAGGGACCATTATTTGGTCTACAAAATAATAACCTACTTCTGATGAAGACCTGCTTTAGATTGAAAGTATCCAGATTATTGTCTCTAAGAATTCATTTCCTCAGCTGAAAAAACTGTGACAAATAACACATTTTCCATGAAAATTCATTCTGTTCTACAAGGGTAGATTTTGCTCTGTCCTGACTGTTTGTGTCAGCTCATTCTTTCCCTCAGCTTTCTTCTCTCAGTCCACACCTGCAAGATCCTTCTCCCTCCTTTTTTTCTTTCCATTTATCTTTATCTCAGTTCATCAAATCTTTCTGCTAGCCAAATATACCATGGGGTTTGTCTCTGCTGAACATTGCACTGGGAAGTGGTCTCTGTCAAAAAAAAATCAGAGCCATACCTCATTTACTAAATGGAATGATAAAGATGTGGTTTTATTATTTTTCATTCATAGGCATTTGAGTGAAATTTTTTACACCAGTATCAGAGGCAGTGATAAGATATTCTTAAAGCATTTTTGATGTCTTATGGAAGAAAAGTGCAAGGGTTCAGACTGCACATATGTGCCCATGTGTCTCTGCTCTCTTTTACACATTGGCCAGTTTCCAAAAAAATTACCAAAAGAGAGGACATCTCACACAGAATCAACATCCTACCCCTTTTGATAAATGTTGGCACCCCACCTGAGAAAAGGTCTGAGAGGCAGGCTCGCAACCTGTCAGATACAAGAAAAGCCACACAAAGCAAGTCAGGAGGTAAAGAAAGTGAGGCACACAGAGAGACTGATGTTCTGAACGTTCCATCAGCTGAGAAGGTGTCAAACAGAGCTTACACCTCCTCAGACTTGCAGCATAGATCCAAAGGGTAAACAGCAAGTGTAGTGATATTTTAGCACCTCTAAAAAAAAAAAGATCCCTTTATTCTGTCAGGATTTTATTCACAGCTCTATCCCTGCTCTTAGCTCTTCTACTTCTTGGATGTCTAAGGCTTAATAAATTTGCATAAATAACCAAAACTACAGAAATATTTCACCTGATTTGCGGAAGACCTGGTCCTTTTTTGACACCATGTAATAGGTCTGTGCAATAACAAGAATTATAATCCCCAAACTACAGCCCATGATGATAAGAAAATGGAGAACTTTGTCAAGCTTTAATGAATTTCAAGTGTTAGAGATTTTACAGTTGTCCCAGTCAACCTATTGAAGAACATTTTAATTTTAAACATATTCCCAGATGCTTAATTTAATTCTCCCTTGCTACAGCTGAGGCACATTGTTTGCATTTGAGCCATGCTGAATATGGAGAACAGAATATTCCCTTTCTTTTTGAAAGGGAGGTATTTTTTACAGTAGCTCATCTCGGTCTTTGCTATCCCAGACTAGAAAAATACCCTTCCATATGTGACACTTTCTATAGTTGCTCTACCATGCTCCAGACTGTGCTTGATCCTTGGTCCACTTTTTATTTTCCTTTCAAGTATGGTGCTCAAAATCAGATACAGTGACACAGAAAATATGTTGTTAATAGAGCATGGAACAGCATGATTATTTTCCATATCTTGTCTACACATCCTGTTCCTTTAGTTTCTGGGTTGGTGCTTGCTTGCCATTTTAAACCACTGTAGATTCATCTTCAGTTTTACATGTGCCATCAATGCCAAATTCTATTCTTGCAAAATTGTTACCCAAACTGTAGTGCCTCCAGTTAGTGCCTATGTACCATTTCATGTATTGTTGTTGAATAGTTTCTATTTTTTCAGACCCCTTTCCCATATCCATTTTTGTTTGAATCCTAGTCCTTCAGCATCTTTGCCATAACTGACTGCCTGGGGTCATCTGCAGACTTGAAACTGTGTTTCCTATCCAAGTTAGTAATAAAAATATGGACCCAGAGCAAGTTTTGCAAAATCTTCTTCAAGTTTGAAACTAAACTACTGCTCTATACATACTGTTGTCCAAACATTGTTTCTCAATCAATTTTACTCTCATATTGTGTTAATTTCATCAAGTGTAAATGACAGTAAACTGCAATTGCAATATTGTTATTCCTGATGTTCAGATATGAGCTAGAATAGATTTAACTTTCAGATCCTGATGGAATTTGCAAAACTGATTAGTCGGTGGAAAAGTGGTTAAAATTTAAAATCAGACAAAAGTGAATCTTGATTTGCCAGGTCTCCAACATAAAACTTCACTCTCTTCTTTTACAGTTACATATTATAAAATAATTGTGTGCCCAGAGCTACAGAAGTAGATGAAACTAATAGAAAGATCACATGGAAGAATTCAGTCTGAAAAATACAAAAGTGCTTTGGCAATATATGGAAGAACTTGAGCTGTTTTTTTTCCTCCACAACATGTATTTCTGTTCTACAGATTAAAATATATTTTAAAAAGTGAAACATCATCATGGAATATTTTTCTATACATATTATTTTAATTTATATTTAACCTAATCGGCTAAAAGTACTGAAACACAGAATAACTATTTTATTGTGTGTGATAAAAAGATTTTTCAAGAACATTCTTCCCTTGATGTGTCTGCCTGTTCATTATCTTTTTTGAAACATTCTTCTCCTTGAGGACAGCAGAAATAGAACCATGCGACCAGCAGATGTTAGAAACTTCCTTGCTTCAACACCCAAACAAATGTTGTGGATTTAATGCTGAATGTGAAGGACTGCATTATTCATTTGTCTAAGTCATCTTGGCTTATGGTCCAAGCAAATGTTTGTCTGACAGAAAAAAAAAAAAGGGTATTAAATGTGCTTTGCGTTCCCACCAGGTACCCATCATAAGCAAATCTTTCTTGCAGGGAAGCTGGCTTGAGCTAAGGTTTGCTGGAGGGAAGTCATGCTACTTTCTCTTTGAACCCTGGAGAGTTACACATTAAATATACAACATCGGCTCTGTAGGAAGTACATGAATACAGTAAAGCCATCACTCTCTTATCTTGGTAAACTTCAGATGAGCTCATGAGAGGAGTTGTATCACGACTGTTTGGCAACAGTAATAATTGTAGTAAGCTGTTTCCAGCACAGAGTTAAATGGGGCCTCTGGAAGCAGAGACAATGTAGAACAGGACCGCAGAGAGGAAAGTGATGAGAATTCACTAAACATACTCCTCATCTTCTTACACTCATTAGGAAGGGACACTGCATGTCAAAGACTGGATGTAGGTTGGGACTTTTAAAAGGGAAGCACTGGTCTCCTTTCAGATGCATGGTAAAGTGGAAATTTTTAAGGCTGATTTTTCAAGAAATGTGTAAGCAAATGCATGCAGCATCATGATAATCCTATTGTCATGGTAAACTGCAGCAGGAGAATATGTGATAGTCAAAGTGTATGAGTTGTTATTGTAGGAATAGAGTATTCTTCTGAAGGGAAGAAAAGTACTTAAATATCTTAAACAGTCTAGATTCCTCCTAGATAAAATTTCCAAAATATCTAGATTATTTAGCTGTCTGAATTTGAAATTAGAATTATTTTCAGCCAAGTTCCACTGGTCACTTTAAACCAGCAACTATGTTTCCAATGCCAGCCCACTTCAATAGTCCCCTTATATCACAGCTCCATAGAAAGTGGGTAATGTGCCCATGTCACCCCAGATGCCTTCTTTGACATGAACACAGTCACCACACGCTTCCCTCTCTGCACACGCAGCTGGAGCCCCTTCATACCAGGAGGGTTCAAAGGCATGCACAGCCCTATCCCATGAGGGCTGCTGTGTTTGCAGTAGCAAGGAATTTCCCCACTCTTATGACTTGTTTTTATGGTTATCCAGCTCTGATTTTCCCTGGGAGTGGGCTCTCCAACTAGGCAGCCACTCATCCTGTGTGCTTTCCAGATACCACATCTCAAGGTTCCTACCCAGCCATCCACAGTTCATGCACCACAGTAGCAGAAAAGGCTGTGCCTTGGTCTGTTTACCCAGTCTCTTCAGAGATTTCGCTGTCCAGCCAGCAGTTCAGTTGCCCAGACCCCCTGCTAGTTCCAGGGACAGGTACTCCATCCCCCTTTTTCACAATGACAGCCTAAACTAATATTCAGCATTCAGATAGTCTCAACTCCTTTCTGTAACCATAGCAAGACCACTGTGAAATCCCTTTTTCCACATTTTTAATATGCCCTTCTCCTGCACTACCCCTTCCCCCCTGGCCAGAGCACCCTAAGCTGGCAGTGGCCGGACAGGCTGCTAAAAGGCCAGGGAACAACTGGCCCTTCCCTTTCCTGAAGCACACTTCTCTTCTACGCACTTCACAAAATTTGTGGAGATTTAGTACCTTTCACATTTCTACCTCTGCATATAGTGTCTTTGAAAATAACCAAGAGGTTCAAATGCTTGAAAAGAGCCCAAACAGTTGCATTCCCAGCTCATTACCACCAACAATTGCAAGCAGGAGGCAGCAACCATGACATGTCTCTAATACTAAGTAGGTATTGTGACGGGAGAAAGGAATCTCCATCTGACTCAGTCCAACTGCCAGGACAAATAGTTTAAAAACTAATTAGAATCAGAGTATTTCAAGGTAGAATATCAGAATATTTCAGGGACAGTGGAAAATCTGAACAAAGAATAGTGTTTCGCATTTATGGAACTAGAGAAAATCCTGGGGCACTCCAGAAACACTGGTATTAGCAAATGTAATACTACAAGCCACTTGAGTATATCCTGTTTTAAAGGGAAAACATTAAATTGCATGAGATAGGTTCTGAATTATATTTATAGAGGCAAGTAAAAAAGCTATTGTCTGTATTTCCAAAGGCAGCAGAATGATGACATCAGCTCAAGATGCAAAGTAAACAAAAAAGAAAAAACAAGTTATAGTGCATTAAGAAGATGTGTTATTGTACTATATAGATATTATATATTTCATTATCCTAGTTATTAATAGCTTGACAAAAAAATGGTCATGAAAGTAAAAAAATAAAGGCCAAAGAAAAGCAATTAAAAAAAATCCAAATCTGAGGTCCCTAAATGCTTACTTCCAAGGTACATACATAGAAAAACTATAGGACTATTTGCAAATCTGAGTCATTAAAGAAGTGTGAACCTTGCTTACACCGCGACTGGAAGGAAGAGGAAAAACAAGGAACAGAGGGCATGACTGAGAAAAGCCAGTCCTTCAGCAGGAGCTGTGCCAGGTGCTCAGGAGGGCAGCTATTCCCTCCTGTGCAGGTGCAACAGAAGTAAGGCTCACATGTCTCACTCAAGTCCCAGGGTGCCCAGCAGAATAACCAAATTACCTCTTGTAGAATAAAAGGAACAGAGCAGATAAATATCTAATATTTGTTTATCTCCATTGAAAGCATTTAAAAGGATTAAGTTGGGGGGGGAAAAAGACCAAAAAAAGGCAAATAAAAGGGGGGGGAGTGCACTTTTAAGATTATGTTTAGTTAAAGGAGTACAATAATCACATAAAAAATGCAACAGAATTTTTATAATAGCATAAACAATAGTTGTGCTATCTGATTAAAATAACACTGCTGAATTTCATTCTTCCAGCCAGATGATGTTTAAAAAAAATTAATTGCCTTCTTCTGCAAAACATAATTTTTAATAAAAAGTACATATGAAGTTTTTCACTTTAAAAATTGACCTTAAGGATTTGTACCCAACCCGATAAACCTCTGCAGCTATCCCAAGCATTTTTCCTGGGTTACTAAAGCTCAAATGCACAAGCAAAGTAAATTTACTTTAGCAACATATCTGTGCAACAACAATATGGATCCCATAACAGAATAGTTATTGAAAAAGCAAAATATATGTTTATATATTACAACCATATCATAGGTTTAAAGGTTTTCTACTCTGCTGACGAATGCTCAGAAAGGCAACAAGTTTGTTACAAATGGATGCAAGCTACCAAGTTTGTTTCCAACATTGGTAAATGGTGTGAACTGTTTAAAAGTGAAGCAGCTACATGAGCAGATTTTGGAGATGGGAGTGAATTAACAGATTTACACCAAAGAAGAATTTGGCCTTTGACACTGTGGGCTGCTCTCTCCAAAGCTGTCTGGGCTGCCCACATTTCTGATTCTTGCAGCAGTTAGTATAGTAGTAGGGCTATATATTTATTTACAATAAAAAGACCTGTGAGGACATGAATACTAGTATGACTAATATATACAGATGTATGAATCTTTTAGATGGTATTTGATATGTTGTATTCCATCATCTTATTCTACTTTAACATCTATTTGCTTTTTGTACAGATTGGGAATTGGTACATAAGCTTAGCATCAAGGATTATGCTAATGTTTCACAAAGATAGGTAACTGTGATAACATATAATTCAAAACTCACATTTTATGAAATTCAAGTCTTTCACAGTGATTTTCCCACTATTTCTTGAATTACCTATTCATTTGATGACACTTTCTCATTGGGAGATATTAAGTTATTAACCACCTATTAGAAAGACTGGTGCAGCATGCTGAAAGAAGGAAGTATAAAATCTGACCCTATAAAAGCAGTATCATCACCAAATTTATGTCCTACAAAGAAGAAACTATGAGAGTATTAATAGCATGCAATCCATTAATTTTCTTGCCCAGAAATGGTTTGTAAGTTATTTAAAAATTAAGATATTGATATTTTTCTATTCAATAAAAGACAGCGATGTTATCATACATGTGTGAATTAATTCTATTTTCAGATAGCACTGACCAAAATGGCTACTTGCTTAACAGTACAATCCTGCAGACTTTAGGAAACGTATCAGGGTTTCTTCCAAACACCTTTTTGAAGTGTGTAAGGACAGGGTAAGTGGCATTGCTACCAGGCACGGAATGTGTTGCCGGTGGTTTGTGGTGAAAATGGGATTTGGCTCCTTGCAACTCAACACAAAACTGTTTGCCCGAGTCAAAAGGCTGCTGTGTAAGCAGGGATTTCAGGCCAGTCCAGTGAGAGGGCATTTTGTTGCTCCTGCTGTAGGACAGGGATGCAGCCTGGCCCCCACAGCAGTCCCAAAGCAGGGGGCTGCTCTCAGCTCCACACACAGACCCTGCTCCCCGCTCATGGCTGCCAAGCGTTTGGGGAGCACCAGGCAACTCCTCTGGAATCCAACCGTGAGCTGGCCCCTCAGGGGAGCAGGGTATGTGCCATGGCCTGTCCCCACAGGGCTGTGCTTGGCAGGGGGGGCTGGACAGAAAACCAGGCTTCTCATGACAGCTCCTGCCCGAGACCTGCCCAGGGTGGGGGGTCTGGATAAGACCCTGCTGTGGGGAACCGGTGTCCGACACAGCCCCAGGATGGCAGGGATGGGATGTGGGGATGGGGACAGGTGAGACCTCCATCTCAGAGGGCCAGAGCTGCCCATGGGCATGGGTCTTTTGGCTGGTGGAGTTAAGAAAGAGACACTTTAGGCAGGAATATCTCAAAGGGCAGAGGGGGTTTGTG